GTAGAGACGGGGTCTCGCTCTTGCTCAGACTGGTTTCGAACTCCTGAGCTCAAACAATCCGCCCGCCTCGGCCTCCCAGAGTGCTAGGATTACATGATTTTTAATTCTTAAAAACCTAGCACCTCTTTCCTCCTCTCCACCCCTACTGCCCCATCCTGGTTCAGGTCCTCATCTCTTTATCTGTCTTGTTGGGTAACAAACCAGCTTCTTCAATGATCCTTCTGCATCCACCCTTACCACTCTGCGTACAGTTCCCCACGCTACAACCAGGTGGGCTAAAAAGAATGTAAGTCCATTCATGTTCACACCCTCACCTAATCACCATGTCCCCACCCCCCCAAAAAAACTTTAATGATTCTCCATGTTTCACTACATCCCAGGTAGGGCCCAAGAACCCGTATATTTAACAAGCTTTCCAAATTATGCTCTTGACAAGTTTGAGAACAGGATAAAACCCGCACCTCTTAGGGGATTAAATAATACTCTTGCATGGCCCTTACTTACTGTCTCGTGTTTTACCACTCTCACTTCTTCCTGCCAAATTACTTAAAATATTCTTTGCATAGGAATTCAAGTCAGGTTTAGACTGTTTTAAAAGCCTACATTTGCCCTCTGTCTTCCCCACGATGATTTGGTGCCCCCTATCAGCTTTTCATTACATTTGTATTGAAATTATTGGTCTTTTCCACTCTTCTACCAGGTGTTTTGAAGTCTTTTGCATTGTGGGGTTATTGGTGTCCATTGCTATACCCTGTGCATAGTAGAATGCAAATACTTATTGAAATGGATCTTTGGCAGCTCAGGCATCTCTGGTCATGAGGATTTAGCTAATGTGACTGAGCTGATGTATTTCTCATTTCAGCTCCTGGTGGGCCCATGTGGAGATGGGACCCCCAGATCCCATCCTGGGAGTCACTGAAGCCTTTAAGAGAGACACCAATAGCAAAAAGATGAATCTGGGAGTTGGTGCCTATCGAGATGATAACGGAAAGCCTTATGTGCTCCCTAGTGTCCGCAAGGTGAGCTTGCCATTCATCTCCTGCTGAGTCAAGGTGAATAGACTAAAGGGAGCCCTGGGGAGGGGCAGGAATAGTGCTAGACAGGAACCCTAGGTTCTAATCCAGCACTAACTGCATGAATCACTCAGGTTTTCTGGGCTGTAGGGTCCTTGGCTATAAAAGCAAGAAGTTGGAACCACATGATCTTTTCTAAGATTGAACTTCCTTTAGTCCTATTATAATCTATAAAACAAGTATGGTGTCATGTTTAATTCTGAGGGTACACGAGAGAACCAAGAATTTAAACATTGTTTCTTGGTGAGAGAAATAGTCCTTTGTGGATGAGGATTACTGTTATTTTCCATTTCTCTCATTTT